TTGATTAGTTTCCATCCCTTATTCCTTGCCTGGCCTTCAGGTACTTTGAAAAATAGCTTGACCTCCTCATCTCTGTGGCAGCGCCGCAAATATTGGAACACTGCTATTATGTCTCCCCTCGTCCTCATTTCATCAGACTAGCCACGCCTAGTTCCTGTAACTGTTCTTCATATGTTTTAGTCTCCAGTCCCCTAATCATCCTGGTTGCTCCCCTCTGCACTTTTTCTAGAATCTCAGCATCTTTTTTATAGTAGAGTGACGAAAACTGGAAGCAGTACTCTAGGTGTGGTCTTACTAGGGCTTTATAGGGTGGTATTAGTACCTCACTTGATCTTGATTGTATACCTCTGTTAATGCAATTTAGGATTGTATTGACTTTTTTGGCTGCTGCTGCTGACTCATATTTAAATGGTTGTCCACTAGGACTCCAAGATCCCTCTTAGAGTTATTACTATTGAGCAATGTACCACCTATACGGTACCTATGCATTTTGTTTTTCTTGCCTAAATGTAGAACCTTACTTTTTTCACCATTGAAATTCATTTTGTTAGATAGTACTCAATGTTCAAGTTTGTCAAGATCCTTCTGTATCTTAAGCCTATCTTCTGGCGTGTTGGCTATTCCTGCCATCTTGGTGTCATCTGCAGATTTGATGAGTTCCCCATTTATCTCCTCATCCAGATCATTGATGGAGATGTTGAAGAGTACTGGGCCTAAAACAGAGTCTTGGGGTACTCCACTGCATACCTCCCTCCATGTAGATACAATTCCATTGAGGACTACACGTTGAGTGTGGTTGGCCAGCCAGTTACAAATCCATCTGGTGGTGATGCTGTCTAATCCACATTTTTTTCACTTTATCTAGTAGTAGGTTATGGTCCACTTTATCAAATGTCTTGCTGAAGTCCAAGTAAATTATATCGACGGCATTCCTCTGGTACACTAACTTTGTCACTTTGTCGAAGAATGCAATAAGATTAGTCTGGCATGATTATAGGAATATTACATTATTGTTTCACTGGAAATAGATCCTGTCAGAATTTAGTCTTTACTTGCAGTAACAACAGCAATTCAATTTGAAATACAAATAGTAAAGTAAATGCAATGTTGGTTTTTACAAATGATTTCACAAGAGCCCCAATCCTTCCTGCTTGCTGTCATGAACCAAGAGAAGTCTTTGATTTCAAATTCCAGTTCCCAATATTTTTTCCAAATGTTCATGAAGTCACATAATAAGTTTAGCTTATTAATAAACTCTGACTTGGTTAAAAGTTTTGAGCAGTGGAAAGAACAAGAACTGCTTCATGGTAAGGTTTGCTTACTTCATTATTTGGTTTGTTTTGAGAATCCACATGCTATATATACATGGTTGCACCTGGCCACTAAGAGTATGTTTAACAAATACATGATTAAAAATACTGACATATTACCAATATGTTTCAGGGTGGAATTCAAAGTGCTGGTAATTACCAATTAAGCCCTACATAATTTGGGACCATGGAACCTGAGAGAACATCTTTTTCCAAGATTTTCTATCTGTCCAATTAGATCAAATAGAATAGGCATGCTGCAGATCCCATCAGCCAAAAAATATCAGCTGATGGGGACTAGACGATCAGTTTTTTTCTGCAGCAGCCCCTGTTGCGTGGAACTCTTCCGTCTGGATATCAGAATGTCCCCAACTCTGTTAGCCTTCTGCAAAGTTTGAAAGACTTGAGTCTGTTCGTGAGCCCTGCCTCCTGGCTATATTGTTAACAGGCCATATGTTTTGCTTTGAATGAACTTGAATTAGAAATCTTTATGTTTTTTAGTGTTTTAATGGTTTTTACTGTTTTTGTTCTTTTAAAACATTTTTTTCTAATTTTAACTATAATATACATTTCTGAACTGTGAGCCATCCAGAGTCATTTGCTGAAATGGGTCACAATAGAAATCGAATCAAATCAACAAATAAATAAGTAAATATCGGTATGTGTGAATTCAGACTTTAGTCTGGGAGAGCAAGTCATATTATATTGATCTGTAGCAAATACCATAGTCATTTCATTAATTTATGATAGTTTTCTAATTTTCATTTCCACTGAATGGAACAAGTACCACCCAAAATTAACAGCATATTCTTGAATGCTCCACAATAAACAAACAAAAAGAATTATGAATAGATGGAACTTAATGGACCAATAGAATTTGCATTTACCAGATTACTGTTGAGGCCAAGCCATACAATCCTTTTTTGTTTTAGTAATCTTAGCCAGATATATGAGAGGCCAAAGGGATCTAAAATGCTAGCAAGACTTGAGTCTCTCCTTTCACAACTTTTTTTTGCTTCTTCCCATGTCATTTTGGCTTCTATGACGAAGTAGGTGCTATTTCGATAACGGAGACGTTGCTCTGGGGTGGTGGATGGAACAAAAGAATATTTGGGGTCTACAAAAGAAAAAGAACATTGTAAGGCTCTTTTCAAAACTATGAAGACATAAAATGCAAAATGAGAAAACCTGTTTTTAGACATACAGTGGAAATGATATTTGGGGTAAAATGATACTTGTTTTGGGAAAGTTGGGCATAAAATGGGAAATGTGTTTTTTATTTCAGGGTCAAAACAGACAGCCCTCCCCCCCCTTGAAGAAGCCCACTGCTCCCTGTTGTTGTTGTTGTTGTTTAATTTCATGACTGGGTAATAAATGTGATACCTCCATACTTCTTAGCTGGACTAATGCAATTCATTCTGCATGGGACTGACCTTGAAGATCACTCAGAAGTTACAGTTAGTCCCAACTACAGCAGCTTAAGTAATGGGTTTAACTCAGTTACCTCTTTGCTTTAAGACATGCACTAGTTACTAAGTGCAATTCAAAATGGTAATTGTGACTCTTAAAGCACTGCGTGAATCAGGACTTAAGTATCTTTACGATCATCTGCTCTGAGTAAAAGTTTGCCTAACTGGCAAGATCTGGTAGACTAGACTGCCTGTCCTATGCAACATCTCATCACCAAGGACCATATAGGACAGGGGTGTCAAACTCACGTCATCACAGTGTCATCATGTGATGTATCGCAACTTTTCCCCCTTTCACTAAACCAGGCATGGGGGGTGGCCAGCGTATGACGCATCTGGCCAACGGGCCATGTGTTTGACACCTCTGATATAAAAGAAAATTCTCCCTGCTCACATCTCTTCTCTGGAACAGTATCCACTCTCAGGTTGAAGGCTGCCCCATCCTTGCTATTCACAAAATAAGTGAAGTGCTTGCAGTTAGCGACTGATGAAATTTTACATGAACTTATAACACATTTTGACCTTATTATTGCATTAATCAAACGTTATGATTCTCAGTCATTTTTCAAGTGGAGAGGCATGTCTTAGTAAATAAATAAAACACCTAATTATTACTCTGCACCATAGTTATGCTCTGAGATCAAAAACCATCATGGTCTTGTTGTATTGAAACATTGGAGGGAAAAGTTAGAGATATTTAAATCAAAGTATGCTTTTCCTTTCAAAAAGAAAAAAAGAGGTGAGGAAGCAAAAATAGGCAAAATACTCACGGACATTGGTTTCACATATGTACCCTTTCTTATAGTAGCAATAACTATTTTTCCATAAGCCAGCACTTTTGTAAGGCAATGCTTTCATTACAATACAATCTTCCTATAATAGAAAACAATAAATGTTAAAAGCGGTATGAATAAACTCCTTAATCCTTCAATCATACCATACCATGGTAGTTGGTAGAGAAGGTTATAGGTAGTCCTCAATTTACAACCACTAGTTCAGTGACCATTCATTACAACAACAGTGAAAAAACCAACTTATGGACAATCCTTACAACCATTGCAGCATTCCCAACAGTCACATGATCCAGATTGGGACACATGGTAATCAATATATATTTATACTGTTATAGTATCCTGAAGTCATGTGATCACCATTTTCAACCTTTCCAGCAGGCTTCTGTCAACCAAAATAATGGGGTAAGGTAAGGCAGATTCACTTAGGAATGACACTTAGTGATGACTGCAGTGATTTATTTAACAGCCTTGATTTAAAAAGTTTTTAAAATTGGACATGATTCATTTAACAATCACCTTACTTAGCAATGGAATTTCTGGTTCCAATTGTGGCCATAAATCATGAAACTCCTGCACAGAATGAGTCACCACAATTTCTGGCAATACGGAAAAGCAAGAATGTCACATGCCCATGAAGTCACTAATCAACTGGGTGCTGCAAATAGTAAATCCCACCCACCCACTCCCCCCAATCAAAAGCCAGGGGTAGTTCCACAGAATGCTCCTGGAAACATACAGTAATTGGATGTATTTGTCAAGATCTGAGATAGAATAAGGAAATATCAGCTCTAATCGCTGCTCTTATTCTGTATGCTATCTTATTACGAAACCTGCTATGTATCAATGCAATTCACCGGTAGTCTATTTGTTTTCTTGACAGAGGGCATTAGTCAAGATCAGCATTTGCGTGAGTAACAATCAGAACGGTCACTTGCCCAGTTGCTATCCTTAATTGTTTTGTCCAGTCGGCAGGATACTCACTCACTTGTCCCTGCTAGCTGATTGTTTAGATCAGCAAATTGGCTAGCGGATTCTGGGAGTTGAAACTGACACTTCTTACAGTTGACAAGGTTGAGGAGCACTGGCTTCTCAAAGGAAGTACCTTGAAATTTGATTTTCAATATTGCCTCTGCTGATTTATTCTACTGATAGAGATGTGCAATCAAGCTAAAAGGTGCTTCAGACAGCATGGGATGCTAACATAGGCCCTGTCTGCAACTCTTTAAAGCAGTCATACTTTTTTCTGTGGTTGCATAGCTGCCCTTGGGAGTTGCAGCATAATCCTGAGAAATGACACACATCTTAGAATAGAATAGAATAGAATAGAATAGAATAACAGAATTGGAAGGGACCTTGGAGATCTTCTAGTCCACTCCCTGCTTAGGCAGGAAACCCACACCATTTCAGACAAATGGTTATCCAATATCTTGTTAAAAACTTCTAGTGTTGGAGCATTTGCAACTTCTGGAGGCAAGCTGTTTCACTAATTAATTGTTCTGTCAGGAAATTTCTCCTTAGTTCTAAGTTG